AGACCCTTCATCAGATGATGAAGGGTCTAGGCCCGAAACGTCAGCCTCTCTGCTCCTATGATGCTGCTTGGCCTGCTGTGTTCATCCAGCCCTGCACCTTGTTGTCTCATCTATTTGATACAATCAGTTGGATCAATGCTAGTTCACACCATCTGCAATCTTGTTCAGCAAACACCTCACACAAAACAAAAAGCAGACCAGTCCCTGACTTTCAAAGAAATAAAACTGTGTTCCAAACACCAGCACCCTCTAATGGCAGTCGAGTATCATTTCAAGAAGGGAGAGTAAAGGCATCAATTCTATGTGGCACTGAACTGAAATCTGCCCCAAATAAATGCTCTTTTAACTTTGAAAATCTCTCCATTAAAATTAACAACACTCCATGCTGGACAAAACAATCCAATCAATTCACAATCCATTCACTGCCTTAAACAAAAACAAACTGCTGGAGAAATTCAGCAAGTCTGACAGCATTAGTGGAGAGAAACAAAGTTAACATTTTGAGTCCAATTACTCTACTTCAGAACTGTTCCAAACAAGAGTCATACTCTACTTGAAACATTAACTCGGTGTCTAGGTCTACAGATGCTGACAAACCTGCTGAATTTCTCCAACATTTTGTTTTTATTTCAGATTCCCATCATACATTGCCACCTTAAACATTCATGTCCTCCACCAGATCTGCAGCATGGCTGCAGTCTGTACCATCTATAGGAAGCACTAAAGCAGCTTAACCAAAGTTCCTTTGCCAGGAATTTCCAAACTGGTGACCTCCACTGTCTAGGCGGACAAAGTAGCTAGTATCTAGGAACACCATCACCTTCAAGTTACAAACCATTCTGACATGGACGCATACATCCTTCATTGCCAGTATCAAAATCCAGGAAATCCCATTCAAACAGCAATAACTGACCAAACAAAAAAAAAAATGGTCTCCATTTTTCCCCAGATTGAAAATTGTTCATGTTAAGAGTCAGTGGATGTGATATCCAATGCAATCAGTAATTCTAAAACTGGTATTTGCATCTTCAGGTGTTGCAAAAAGAAAACAGAGCATAGTCATTTATTAAGGGCTTTCAAATATCAAATTTGGATTACAAACATTTGATGTTTACTTTTTCACATATACTGAATTATGCATCTTCTTGCACCTCCTCTCTCTGTTTAAATTCATTCATGTGATGAGGACACCATCGACTAGGCCAACATTTTTTGTCCATCCTTAATTGCTATTACAGAGCAGTTAAGAGGCAACCACATTGTTGTAGATCTGGAGTCACATGTAGGTCAGATTGGGTAAGGACAATGTCCTTCCATAAAGGATGTCAGTGAATAAGGGGAGGTGATGGCATAGCGGTAATCTCTATTAATCCAGAGAACAAGACAACGTTCTGGGGACCTGGGTTCGAATTCTGCCACGGCAGATGGTGGAATTTAAATTCAATCAATCTCTGGAATTAAGAATCTAATGATGACCATGAATCCATTGCCGATTGTCAGAAAAACCAATCTGCTTCACTAATGTCCTTTAGGGAAGGAAACTACCATCCTTACCTGGTCTGGCCTACATGTGACTCCAGACTCACAGCAATGTGACTGACTCTTATTTCCCTCTGGGCAATTAGGGATGGGCAATAAATGCTGCCTGGTCAGTGATGCTCTCATCCCATGAATGAATAAAGGAAAAAAAAATAAAACGGACATTTACAACAATTAGACAGTGGTTACAAGGTCACCAGGAGGTTAGCTTTTATTCCAGATTTTTATTAAATTCAAATTTCACCACCTGCAATAGTGGGATTGAAACCTATGTCCCAGAACACTAGCCTGGAATTCTTGATTCCCAGTTACCCATTTTCTCAGTTTCTAGATTCCCAAATTCCTATTCTCACTATGCCACTGCCTTCCACTATCGCACAAAGCCTGAGGGAGAAAAACATGACAAGCTATGTCACTAAAGGGTGAAAACTATTAATTGAAAACTCTCTCTGATGTGGAGTAAACTAGGTGCACTTACGAGCTTCACTCCAAGTGACTGCTTTCGGAGACTGCAACAAAGAGCAATCTGAGAAAAGCAATCATTGTGCTAACAGAGGCAATATAATCTGCTTGAGAGAGAGAGGGGAGAGAAAGAGAGGGGAGAGAAAGAGAGGGGAGAGAAAGAGAGGGGAGAG